AATTTCATCCATTATAGCGTTGGTGGGGCCTACTTATGTGGTGTTATTGGTTGAAGAGTCAACGTTATCCGGTTGGTCCACTTGTCCAGCTGTCCTAAATTTTCCAGTTTTGTTAGATTTTCCCTTTTTGGAGTTTCTAAAAGCCATTTTGGCCACAATTTTTTTCCCCAAAGCTACGTCGTCTTGTACGAGATTATCATAAAGCTTGGCCTGCATCGTAATTTTGTGTGTTTTGGAGGTTGGATTATTACATAGATTGCTTTTTTTTTTCTTTTTAAATACAGATATATATGGTTTTAACTTTTAAAATTGTGTAGGTTTAGTATATACATAAATTGAATATTGAATGTGTATTCTACAAAATTTCACCATTTTTTTATTTTCTGAAATTAAGGATAAAGGGTAACTTTTTTTTAGTGCGTTTCACATTCTATTTAAATTTGAGTTTTGATAGATTATTATTATATTTTTAAAATTTCAAACTTTAGGTTGTATTTACATAAAATACACTCTTTCTCTATGGAGTTTGAGGTTGATGTCTATTTGGCCACTAAGATCTCAAAAATGACATTTTAGTTCTTAAAGCTTACAAAATTGTTCTAAATGTTGTTTATTGATATATAAGATTTTTTACGATGTGACTGGTAGATTTTAGATTTAAAGTGGACATCCAGTTAGTTGAGGCAATGACTTGCAAACACAACTTTGCACTAGTGTGGTGCTCGGCCACATACACTTTGAAACTTAAGTTAGTACTTAATTAGTCTAAATTAGTGTTGAGCCGAACTTGGTCAGGTTACTAAGAAATTATGTACTTTTGAGAGGGTTGGACTTTGCCTTTTATAGGGGAGCTTTAAGAACTATGACTCTGCCATTCCGACACCCCGTATATGGTGTTAGTGGATTTTTTGCCAATGGAATCCACGTTCCCCTAGGTCGTTATTGAGTTGAGCTTCGACTGAGTCGATCAAAGGTGATTTTGCATGCCTCATATTGTCAGAGACTAAATGCACCATTTAGAACCATTTTTCAAACCTCGAAGACTAAAGTGCCACTTTTGAAATCTCAATGATCAAATAGATACTAACCCCAAACTTCAAACTTCGGATATCAAAATTGCATTTTACCATTTATTATATGCCATTGATTTTTTTATCATTGTATTTTATGCCCTTTTATGTAAAAAAAAAACTCTAGTATATGTACTTCGTGTCTAATGGGTTTCTATTTTTAACTTCGTCATGTATATTTACGCCACAAAATACCTAAACTTACTTGAAATTAGCATATCACATAATCCTTAAATGACGCGTTAGTGTTTCATTTATTAAAATTTGAGGTAAAGATCCTAACCACACACACTTATTCTCTGACAAAAACATTAGCTTGTGATAAATTTGATACAACTTGCCAAGTTTAGAGGTGAAAATTATTATTTTTTTCTTATTACTATTGTTTGAATAACAACCTATGGGTGTGGAGATTCAAAATCTAACATTTTGATCATTGATATATACTTTTAAATGGTTGAATTATGGACTACTTTTTTTCCCCTTTTTTTTTAGTCTAATAAGGAGCAGGACACATTATAATAATTTAAGAGCTAAAGATCGAGTTAAATACAAATAATTTTGTATTCATTATCATTAAAAAAAAAACCGTTAGTTTTTAAAGAAGAAAAACTTACAATAATTTCAAAAGGGATGTCAAACAAGCAACGCAAACAAGATAAGCAAAACAAAATTAAATCTGGTAGTCCTTGACAATTATGTATTATAAAAATGGAGAAAGATTTGTGTCTTTTTTCGGTGACAACAAAACCATAACGTAGTTTTCTTGGAAAATGATGTAATAAAGATTATCTTAATTTTAAGAGGCTACGTGTAAAACAATACAGAATCTTCGACCCAATCATTCATAAACATAACAATCAAAGTGGGTTGGGTTGGCTGGTCTGTTGTGTTGTAATATCCATGTGGGATCAAATGCCATCTGTCACTCTATTCAATATTCATCTCTCTCAGCCAAAAAGAAGAAAAGAAATAAAAAAAAAGAGACAAAAATGTTAAAATAATTGTGGATGGTCGGATCATTACCATTTCTTCTATGGATGGATCTTTGGTCCAACCAAAGAACTGTGGGCCTAAATTTGGCCCAATCTCAGACATGTTTGGGCCGACTCGGATAGACATTGTCTTTGGGCCATGGGGCGTTTGATGAGGTAACCTCCAATCAAAATTTTTCTTTTTTCGGTGGAGGAGTGAGATTTAAACCTCAACTTTAAGAAAGTGAGTGTTGGTCACTCTTTTATACTCAACTCAATATATATTTATAGATTTATTCAAATCAAGAATTTGAATACAGGTAGAATCTTAAATTTTAGGCACAGTTGTAAATATAACAAAAATATTGAACAAAATTAACAAAATAGCAACCACAAATGTAGCATTTTTTTAGAAAAGTGGAGGTCCAATTTTAAAATGACAACTTTATCCAAATCATATACATGTATAATATATCTGACTACTAATATATGTATGTCGTATACCTCTGATATACTACTGATATGAATGTCTAATATACTACTAATTTATTAATAATAGAGTATCTAATATACTTCTATAAGTGAAAATTTGTGTTATAGTTGAAAATTAAAAAAAAAAGGTGGCGTATATTGAAATAGATAAAAGATATTTTATTTCCCTAAATTTACTTCCACAACAGCAATAAATAATAGAAGCAAAAGAATAAAATAAATATGCATAGGTAGTTTTGATAATTCCTTTTCTTTTATGGCTTTTATTCAATTTTCAAACTTATGGAGAATGCTTCTTTAATGTTTTTTTTTCTTTTTTCTTTTTCCCCCCTATAAGACTTGCACTTTTGGCAAGTGTAATTGTAAAGCTGGTTTTTGGTGGATTGTCGTAGCTCTTACACTTTACTTTTTCTGAGTCTGCTTTCAGATTAAAGCTCTTTGGACATGCCCATCCACTTCCTCTGTGCCTTCTAAGCCAAGAAGATCATCATCATTCATTTCATAATTTTCACTAAATAAATGTATGTTATAATTTGTCACACATGTGGAGGTGTCATGGATGAAATATATAGGATTAATAGATATATATTAGAGTGTTAATTAGGAATTACCAGTAAATTTTTTTATTTTAAGTACTTAATTATTTATGTTTTAAATTTTCTTCAAGGTGTTTGGTTTCACTTTGGGATGTATCGAATAATTTCATGTTTTCCCTTTACATTTGTCAAGACTAATGGGGTTTGTTGAACAAACCCATGGATTTCCAAATAAATGTACAAGGTCTGGAATATCTCATTCCACTCTTAAATTGTAAAGCCTATATTCTAAAAGAAAATAAATTTCATTAATTTCTCCATATATCAAAATTATGGATTAGGACTCCAAAAATTGGCAGAGAATTAGATATGGTGAGAATGAATGTTATTTTTTAGTAAGCAAAAATGGGTGGGAGAGCCAACTATTTAATACATCTAGCTTAAGCAGTTAAGAAATCCTGTTCATTTTCTTAAAAGTGGAAGGTTTAATCTTCCACCCCTATATATTTGTTGTATTAAAAAAGAAAACAGTAGAAGAGAGAATTTAGACTTTCAACTTTTAACAAAGATATATAATGTCTTAATTAGTTGAGTTATACTCTTTTCTTTGCTGTTGTTGACGTAAAAGTACCTATGATCTTCTTAAATGATTGTGAGAAAAAAGCAATAAAAGATTGGTAGAAGCTAGTGAAGTTGGTCACCAAACCACACTTTGACCAAATTAGTTAGAATTTTAAGAAAGAGTTCAATTATTACTATAAGTAATTTAATATATGGGATCAATATTTAAACCTTAATCTTTTTAAATTCTAGCGATGTAAAATGTTAGACTCGTCGTAAGAGGAGAATCTGTAAGACCAACATATTTTAATGAACCTAAATATAATTCAAATAATTAAGTATTCAATATCTATTTAACTCTATAAAAAATTATTTGGTTAAAAATTATAATTTAGTTCATAAACTTTAAAAGATAGGTAGAATATTTATAATCGGTACACTAATTCATTTATAAATAAGAGAATAACAAAAACAAAAAAAAGGTACACCATATAAATAAGAGCTATAAGAGCTAAAAGGTAAAGTAGGAAAAGAAGAAATGGTACCATAACTAAGCAGTTAGAGAGAGCTAAAGTAGTAAATAGTTATTAATAATTCTTACAGTAAAAGATATCATTAAAGTAAAATAAAGTTTGTTATAGATTGATAATTAACTCGGTAAATTATACAAAAAGGTCCAAACTTCACATTTAGGAGGGAATTTGATAATTAAGGCTAAATCATTACGAACACTTGAGATATTTGAAAAAAAAAAACTAAAAAACAAAAAAGAAAAAGAGATTCAAGACCAGATCACATCAATCTTTGGATTGAAGATATATATCAATTACCATTGAATTAGTATGATTTGAGATTAAGTATACTTTTTTAGTTTATGTAATAAAGGCTCAAATCACTCTTTTATTTATAACGTAACTTTGTAATAATTTAATATCGTGGAGCAAAGGGGAACATGTTCTCTATAATTCGAGCCAAACGTACACATATAATCAAACTGACATGTGAGAAGAAATCAACAGTAACAAAAAAAAAAAAGGAGCAAATTAAAAGAAAATAAATTAGCTGTCGGATGGGATGCTAATCAGTGAATAACCGTTACATTATAACCGACAATGGCATCGCCGGCGGCGTTGAACCAATAAGTCCTGGCCAGCGCATACCCACGAGCCAACCGGAAAACCCCCGTCCCTCCGACGACCGGCAGCTCACGAACTTGATGCATCACCGAATTCTTCCCCAAAATGCATATGGAGCTCCCGTTGTACTCGCCAGCGGTGAACTCGTAGGTAAGGGCCATGAACAGCCCCAGCTCCTGCTGCCCGGCCGACCCGTACAGCCCCTGGGCCCGACCCACCTCCTTCGACTTCGGGTTGGGCGTCTCCGTCAACGGGTCGTCGACGATGAACAGGGCGCCGAAAAGCGTGGGAGATTTGCTGGTCATGGGGGCCTCGGCAACCCTGACGGCGGTGGGGGTTTTTCCGCTGACGATGTCGTGGAAGTAGAATTGGATGTTGGTGACGGTCTGATTCTGAGAATCGCGACGGGAGATCACGGTTTTCTTTGCGTTGAGGGCTTGAGTCCATGGGAGGGCTAATACAACAAGGACGGTGAGCGAGAAGCTGGTAATTGAAAGCTTTGCCATTTTTCTGTTTTGGCCGGAGAAAATAGTGGAGAGAATTTTGAGAGGGGAAGAAGATGAGGGGGATGAGAGGGGTTTTATAACCGAATTTTTTTTAGTATAATATATGAGGTGGAGGATGGAACTCACGAAATTTTAATTGGAGGTATCCGTTGAATTATACTCGTTTTAACTTTTGTTAGTAGAACTTTATCTAGAAATGGGAATAAAAAAAGGAAAGAAAAAGTTGTCAATTTTCAAGAATAGACCCTCAGACATAATTCAAGATCTCCCGTTAAAGATTTTTAATTGTATATGGAATGTCCACCTGTATTATACTAAAATATATATAAATATTATTCTAAAATAAATTAACATTTTTTAAGTTTAACATGTGAATGTGGAGAGATCGAACTTACAATCTTTTAATTTAAGATATATATATTAATTATTGTTGAGTTAGGTTCGGTTTGACAATAAATTAACATTTGATATTTATTATATTTACTACAAATTTAACAAAAATGGAAATATATTTAACTTTCCAATCTAAATTTTAAATCTAAATTTAACATGTCTATCTTAATCTCTAGATGAATAATTTTTTTTTTTTTGCATTGCTGTTATTCTATCACATAATATTTAAATATATACATACATACATCAACAAACCTATGTTTCTTCAATACATTTCCTATATTTAGCATGAGTTAAATATATACATTGGAAAGTTGCATTGTCATATTATGTTAAAAACTAAAATTACTGTTATGGATTCGAATATGACATTATGCGTGGGCAAATCTTTGAGGGCCATATGGGTTGAGGGCGAGTCCCAACCTGGTAGGCCAAGAAAGACTTATGTGTCACTCAGACGAGGAGTCTTGCTCGCCCATTCTCCTTGGACAAATACTAAACTAGCATAATATCTACTGATATTTGGTGGAAGTACAATTTCATTATGACATAGCGGTAGAAGTATGATTTCGCCGGCTTGGATCTTCTACATTTCGTTCTTCTAAAATGCTCCCCTATAAAAGGAGGAGTCAAACCCTTCTCAAGAGTATGCAACATCTTGCACAACACACCTGCTTTTCTCTTAGTTATTCGAACTAAGTTCTAATTTAGATATTGGAGTGCATTTGGCATGGCACCGCACTGATATTGAATTTGGTTTTGCAGATTTACACGAAGACAACCACATCATTCTCTGTCAATCATGTAAGGAGACATAATTTTGGTATCATCAATGACAAAATAGCATTGATGACCTAAATAATTTATTCTTAAAGTTCAAGAGCTGTAATAAATGTTTTAAAGTTTCATAAACCAAAATGGAATAAATTTGAAATTTTATAGATTAAGATAAGACATTTTTAAAATTCAAATACAAAAATGAAATAATAAAAAAATTAAGACCAAAATATAATTTAAACTTAAATATATTTACATTTATTTTTCCTTTGTCAAAGAACCTTATTTTTCAAGGGAGTAAGCTCTCACCCTCTCTTTTTACTTTTCCTTTGTAAAGAAAATTATTTAAGCAATATTATTTTAATCAAGAAAATTAAATGAAAAGAAAAAAAAATGAAGACTAAATTCATGTAAAATGTTTTTAAGATAAAACAAACAAGAAGTATAGTAATTGGATGAGTTTAATGCTTTTTTTTTCAGAGAAGTTTAATACTATAATTACACATTTTAACGGTTGTTTATTATTATTATTTTTATCTTTTACAAACTTAGTGCTCAATATTTATTGCATCATATTCGATGAAGATTGAGCAATATTTGAATAGTATCTATTAAATTATATATGTTCGATATATATTTTTTATTTTTCAATTAGATTATATCCTAACTGTTAAGAGTTTCAATTTAGAGTCCATTATTTAACATAGTATTACAGCGAAAAATTTTGATTTTAAAGTAACTGAGGAAATATTTACTTTAGACTTGTTTAAATTAAAAATGTTTTAAATGTATCATTCTAATACTTATTTTAGAGTGTTACATAAATCAAAATTTCTAAAACTTTTTTTTTTCTTTAGTACACCGGCAGGACCATAAAAGATCCTAAATCATTATTTTTTAATCGGAGATAAATGTTTTGACCTACTAAGGTTGATTCGTTTACATAATCACACATATCATACAATTAGGAGCTTTGGAATATTAAGCTTGAAAGGCAAAATATTGGTGAAACTTTGAGCACGACTCCAACCAATGCATTTGTTTAACGTGGAAATTGGAGTTGCAGGGGATTTGTTTCCCACCCAATCCATCGTTCATCTTAGGGACAAAATTTCAAATGTGAGCACAACAACTCAAACTAGGTTTTGGGAAGAGTTTCAATTTGGTGTAGGGTCCCATGACATTGAATTTTTTTATTTCTTGTTTTTTGACAGACCCATGATATTGAGTTGATGGTGGCTGACACATAATCCTCTGAGTTTGGGGTTGGTGACCAATTATTCAGGTGTTGAAACAATAGGTTATGTATTTATTTATATATAAATATATATATACAAACACTGTTGACGGTGAATTTCGGAGAGGTCCACGTGTCATTCGGACGAATGTTCACTCCAAGGACCAAATGTGTCTGCAACCAGAAAACTAAACGCCGGTGCGGTGTCCATCTTAATGAACTCCGATACTTAAATTAGTAATTAGAGTAAGAAGATAGGGTAGACACCTTAGGGTTTTAGTGACAAGTTTTTCACTTACTTGATAAATGTGGGAGTCCTCCCCTTTTATAAGTGCAGATTGGCTGACCAGGAAGGACGATGGTTGAGGTGGCAGGGGTGCGTCGAGCTGTACGAGGTTCTGACGGTGGAGTGTACGTCCCCGACAATTAGTGAGTGACGCCTCCATTTGCAAGTATGCAACCTACAACCTGCAAATACCAGATTGCAGTCATCAACGTCCTCTTCATACAGTAATGGTGGCGACGCACTCGCATGTCATCCCAGAGTATAGTGGTAATCGTTTGTGGTTCCGCACCTCACTGTCGCTCTCGAAATCTGACGCGTGCCCTGCTCGGACTTACCCCAATAGTCACCATGAGGTTAAATTAATTTCCTCCAAAGAAGGCAAGTTAATTAGAAGACTTACTAATGAAAAATGAATTGAATAAGAAATTAACTGCTAATACGAGTTCAACTAAGTGATAATTGACATCTATCTCCAATCAAAGAGGTCGTGAGTTCAAATTTCCCTACACCTAGTTATTGTACTTGAAAAAAATTAAAGAAGAAATTAGGAGTCTTTGTGAATTGTTTAAAAATGTTGAGTTGGTAATCCAATGTATTTTTGACAAACAGTTCACCTGATTTCAAAGTAGAAGGTGGCCTCAATTGCAACATTATTTTATTCTAATTTTTTTCCTTGAGGGTGGTGTGTTACCATGGAAAATCAATAATATGCATAATTAATTAATTAAGATTTCGTACTTACAAAGCCTAACCCTATTTAGATCGTGGTTGGAACCAATAGATGTATTGAGTCGTAAGATGAGACCACTCCAAATAGGAGAAATAAATAGGACTTCCAGGAGTTATATTATAAACTATGGTATAACCACATTTTTTAAATATATTACTCATCACCAACTTTTCATCTAACCAATTAAAACAAAATCTGTCAAAACGAGTATAGTTCAATGATAATTAACATATATCTCAAATCAAGAGGTTGTAAGTTCCATCTCTCACCCCACATGTTGTAAAAAAACAAAATCTGAGCATTTGTGTAGAATAAACTCGACTGGACGATGGTGAAGGATGCACAATTTAAACCAAAACTACTTTCCAACCTTATATGACTTCTACATATCTAAAAAAACATAATTAAATGAAGCAACAAGTAACTCAATTTTTAGAAAGCTTAAAAATAACTAAAGAAATAGCAAAACAATCTGAACCCAGAAAGCTACTCTATAATTAGAAATTAAGACTTAGACTAAGAAGCTCTGTCTTGGTGTTTAATTTTAAGCAAACTTAATTACGGGATTGATTCCCAATAATCTTCCAAATGCACCATAGAGCTTAAGATGGTTGGTATAATCCACAAGTGAAAGAAACATTTTAGAAATAGATGAAATGTATCTTCCTAACCATACTTCAAAATAGTTGTTAAGACGTGATCAATTTATAAGTTAAATGTGTCCAAGTAATAATTAGATCTCCAGGATTTAATAAAGAAAAAAAAATGGAAAAATTGCTCCTGAACTATAGATTTTTTTTTTTAATGTTTAAAATGGATGTCGTGTGACTAATATTAGTATACGGTTCGAATTCAAAACCTCATGATAGGTGATACCACAACGCATAAAGTCTTTGTCAGTGTACCATTCCTAGTGGACCTTTTGAATGGTATGGTAGATTAGTTCATTTGATAAAAAGAATCATGAAAGATATAATAGAATCATGGATCAAAGAAAATCTATCAAGTTTCTCCTACAAGTTGAGAAGACTCTATAGGAGATGATCATTGTGCACCTAGTGATTTGAGTAAAAGGTTATTATTATGTTATCGACACGCTCTCTCATCACTTTTTTTTCTTTATATATATATATGAATGTTCGGATCAGTTTGTACGTATTTTGATAAATCTTATAGGTCAATCTTCTAATACTACTACATTTGATTGTCAAGGTAATTTGTAATATATTAAATCATCGATAGGTACTAGGTGGCACCAAGTTAAGCCATGAGCCAACAACATGAGATAAGTTTTTCTAGAGTATGTCTTCCTACCTGACTCCTAAGTTGTAACAACGTGATTCGAATATATCATGTAGTAGTTGTACAAGACGTTAATTTTATGATCATATTAAGTTACAAGTTAAATTAACTTGCCAACAGAAGCTTAGTTCAGCGGCTAAGGCACTTAACTCCTTTGCTCGAGGGGTAAATCGACATCGACATGAGAATTGAAAATTTTCACACCTACTTGGTTATGTAACCTGACTCAAAAGAAGCTAAACACGAGTTTTTAGTTTTTAACGAGAAAATTTATCTATTAAGAAAAAGAAAGAAAGAAATCAAATTTAACATAAAAGGATAAAATTACCTTTGAAAAAAAGAAAGATAATGGTATTAAATATATGTTGACACAGTGACATTTTCATGGATCTATAGGTTCGACATCCACATGATGAGGGATAAATCGACATTTTCATCCTATTAAGAAAAATTAATAAAATATGAAAAATATCAACAAAATATCAATGATATATACATAATATTAATATTAATCATTTTAAATTTATTAAAAAATTAAAATAATTTTTACAAATTTTTAAATTTTTTTTTAATTTTTACGAGTCAATGTTTTATCAAATATTCCTTTGTATGAAATTGAAATCTCGACACGTCATCTGAGAGTATAAAAAAGAAGAGAGAGAAATAATTATAAACCTATCCATCAATAATTTGACAATCTTATTAGCAAACCAGCTATCATTCTTCTCCACATCTCAGTAATGATACACAGTAACCTTATACTCTATGATGGCATCGCCATTAGTGACGTTCAAGTAATGGGTCCTCAGCTTCGCAAATCCTCTAGCCATCCTAAATTTCCCTCTCCCGCCGACAACCGCCACCTCCCTTCGTGGCTCCGTCACCGGATTCCTCGAAAACACGCTGATCGAGCTCCCCTTATACTTGCCGGCGGTGAAGCCATAATCGATGTACATCACCAAGCACAAATCTCGCCCTTCACTTGCCGACACGTACAGCCCCCGCGCGTTTCCGATCACTTTTGAACTCGGGTCGGGTCCCTCCAGGAGCGGGTCGTCGACGGCGTAGACGCTGCCGAATGGAGTCGCCGACTGGTCGCCGATGGTGACGTTTGAGTGCGCCACCTCGACCGCGCTGGGTCTCTCGCCGCTCAGGATGTCGAAAAGGTAGAAATGAAGATGGGTTACCTTCTCCGTTAACTGGACGCGCGGCACAGTTTCGGAGAAATACTCGGAACGGGCAGATATGGCGGCGACGAAGAGTATCAGTAACCCGACCAATAGCCTGGTCATTTCCATGTTCTTTTTTATTTCTCTGATAGAGGATTGATTATCAGGTCCTGAAATTGACCATTTTAATTAGGGTTGGTTCTTGATTCTTATACTGTGTGATTGAAAAAGATGATTCTAGCGATTTTTATATTTCTGCTGATTAGGAATGTTAATGAAGTCTCATAACGTAGCAGATTTTTATTGAACTGGAAAGCAAATGACAACGCGGATTCACCCCTGGCTTTCCTTTCATGGAGCAATATTTATCAGTATATCATTAAAGTTTATTCCACCCCAATGTTTGGATACATTTTCCTATGCAATGCGTTAAAAATTAATTCGTTTAAACAGAATGGAAATGCATAGTAATGCTAATACATTTATATGGTGAACATCACTTTGGTTATAAGAAAAAAAGTCTGAAAAAGATTGAGGAGTATATAATGGAGTTGAGACTTGAGAAGGCATGTCATTTTGTTCTAGCTGAAGGATCATTCAATAAGGAGCGGTATTTTGTTGGTGGCTGAAATGGGGCAAACCCGTCTATATAAAAACAGATTCATTGGAGGTGAAAGGAGGTTAATGATGCTCATATATCACAAATCATAGCAGATCATTAAGAATTATGAAGAACAGGTTTAGCAGCAGGGCTTTCCTTTCTTCATCTATGGTCGGTTAATTTAGCTGTAGAAAGACCTAAGATGAAGTTTGGCTTCAGGGGGAGCCGATTGGCTGTAGGGTACCGCTAAAAATACGATAGATGTTGCTTCTATCAAAGCAATTGTCTAGTTTTAATGATAACGAGGTCACTTTTCTCAAGGGGGATGGGGTTTGTGAAAGAAAGTTGGAAACTTGGAACAGTATAAATGCGTTTTCAATGCCTTTAGATGGATGAACATGTGATTAGAAAATGTTGAACCATTAGAAGCCAATGTAAGAACATTGCTATCTAACTCACTTGAACAAAACCAATCAATACCCTAAATCGTCTATTCTGTTGCACTTACCTTGGTTCTTTTTTCCAGAACCTCTGGAAAAGTTTAAACAAGTGGTTGCATTTCATATCTCAAGCCAAAATATTAAAATAAAATATGCAAAGTATTATCAGTTAATTGAACATTTTATTTCTTATTGAAGCATGAAATTGACAGCTTTATCGTAACGATTAAAAAGTTTAAGTCTCATTGCTTCTGGTTGACTCACAGAAGTCTGCCTTAGGATTTCATATCCATGGATGGATCCAGTTTAGGGTCTTTTAAGTGGAGGAGGCCTTCTACTCTTAGCTAAATGCTCAAAGCCATAGGCGATCTCTATCAGTCTCGGCTCAAATCCTTTTAATCCTCCAAAGCCAATGCCATAGGGAACCCCTTGAGGGTTATATCCAGCTGGTACACTAACTCCAGGAAAACCTCCAATAGCAAGAACGGGAGAGATCAAACGACCAGGAGCTGCGATTGCATCGAGCTTATTCTTAATCATTACTCTCTCAAATCCGCCTTTTGACAGTTTTTCTAACCTGGCCAGTGCTGCCTTTTCTGCAACTCTGATTCCTTTTGTGGCTTCTGCTTTTAGAAATAAATCCTGACCATACTCCTTTATCTTTTCCTACATTGTGATAAAATTTCATTGTTATGATAGTCTGCTTTTTGATGTGCTGATTGTAAAACTAGAACAAAATCAATGCTAATTGCTTACGAGTTTTGAGTTCCTTTTGTTGAATTCTATTGCATATGACAAAGATCAGATCGGAGAAACAACTAACTCTTTAAGGTATGCATTCAAGGATATTTTGAACTCAACAAGCAATGCTGTCCATTCTCCACTTGAACTGCCAGTGATCACATGTAGGCTGTCTATCGTCAGATTTTCCACCAATATCGCTCCTCCTTGCCTTTCATGTTACTGAAGACTTAGGGTTCAGATAGAAACCTCTAACATGAATCAAGATGGTTTTTTGAAAAGTGAGTTTGCTTCCTTACTTCAGAGTTTTGAGAACTTTCTCAAAAGCTTGAGGGTAGAAGGCATCATCATGGCCGAAATCATAAAATTTCCTCACGATTCCTATTCTCTTCCCTTGCAGCCCATCAGCCCTAAGAAATTGGCCGTACCCACCTTTTGGAATGTATTTTGATGCTTCAGTTGTTGAGATGTCATAGCTGTCGGCTCCTACAATGGCATCTAGAACGTAAGCAGCATCTGATACTGTTCTACAGATGGGCCTGTTCCATCATTATTCACAAGGCAGAAAGTACTTGGAATGCTAATGTAAATGGTAACATTACATAATTAAAGTGGAAAAAGGGTAAATAGAGGCAAATTGGTTACCCAACAGTGTCCTGCCTCAGAGAAATTGGAACGACACCTGCTCGACTGGTGAGTCCTACTGTTGGTTTGATGCCAACTACTGAGTTGAGAGTGGAAGGACATAATATCGATCCATCAGTTTCAGTCCCCAATGAAACTGTAACCATGTTTGCTGCGACAGATATGGCAGAGCCGCTGCTGGATCCACAAGGTTCTCCTAATGTGTACGGATTATGAAAACAGGTTGCATTAGGTTACACTTTGTTTCTTGTCGATTTAAGACAAATTTTATGCTGTATTGTTTTTTTATTTTAGTACAACATGTTGGAAGGAGATTCGAACTCACAACCTTGTAGTTGGAGGTATATGTCAATTACCGCTGAGTTGTACTCACTTTGTTTTGGTGCTTTATTTTTTTATTTGATTTCTAAGAAGTTAGTTAGCTTAGAGTATGATGTTAACTAGATATTTTAGATTAAAAATAATCGTTTATTGGCTGTGAATTTTAGCATGTCAACAGTTTCAAAATCTTAATCTTTATTATTAGAGATATTTGGCTTACTCTGGCAACTGACACTCCTACTCCGCAATACAGATTCTTCTTGTGTGTCTCTTTTAGAAGCAGCTACTTATTGAAGAACTTGGAAAAGCTGCATAGCTTGCCTTGGCCACCCCTAGCGCTCCAACCATTCGGAGGTGCATACGACCTGAAATCAGACCACTCGCTCAAGCTCGCTTTCCCAAAGATGATCGCACCTGCCTTCCTCAACTTGGTCACCACCCCCGCATCACGAGGAACAACGGAGCCAAGCAACGCAAACGAGCCAGCAGTCGTGTTGAGTTTATCCTTGGTTGCAATGTTATCTTTAAGAAGTACAGGAATGCCGTGCGATGGAGACAAAGAGGCTGGTGCATTTCTCTTGCGCTCGTAGTCGGCTCTGGAGGCTTGGTGTAAAGCATCTGGATTCAGCTCTATGACCCCTTTCAGAATCGGGTTAAATCTACGAACTTGCTCAAGGTAAAACTTGACAAGTTGCTTGGAGGTGAGTTTGTTTTGGTAGAAAGCATGCCGGAGGTCGTTCACAGTTGCTTCTTCAATGGAGGGGTCAGTTTCGAAGCTGCAACTCCCAGATGATAAAATCGCCTGCAAACCCAGAAGCAGGGATGTATAAAGAGAGAAGCTTGGGGCAGCCACGGGAGCTCAGCTCATGGACCAGTTGCTTATCAGTCAACTAGCTGTAAGTGGTCGGTCCTTTCGACTGGATCTGGTGACTCCCAGTTCTACATCAATTATGTTACGTTATAATAATCATGCCCTGCTCCTTAATTGAAATATCTTTTTGATAACTGAGGAATATTTTAAGGGTGTGGCGTGCCACTTAAAAATAGTTCAATGACATATATCCACACAGTAATCTTTTATTTCCAACAATTTGAATATATTTGATTAATTACAATTAAAAGTTCATGTAATTTTATTAAATACATTTCTTTTGAATTTGACTTAATTAAAAAAAATAACTAACAATCAATTATTTAAAATTATAATTAGCTCATGTAAATAATTGTTGGAAGTTAATTTTGATCAATTTTAATGCTAACATCAATCATTTATTTCCATAAAATTCCGATAAGATTTTGATGCACAACACAATTATATCTTATTTCCTGAAATCTTATTCTCAGACATCTTGACTCTTGTTCCTCGAACCGAACGATCCATTTGAATATTAAACTAAACCTCAAAACGATCGATCCATGAATGGATGGTGTTCATTTGCAGAAGCAGAAGGCGGCAGTTTACTTGAGGGGAGGCTTTCTTCTTCTCTTGGTTGCTTGCTCAAATCCATATGCAATTTCTATCAGTTTCGGCTCGTATCCTTTCAAACCTCCGAAATCAATGCCAAATGGCGTCCCTGAGGGCGAATATCCTGCCGGAACAGTTATGCCGGGAAATCCTCCAATTGCTAGAATCGGTGAGATTATCGCACTCGGAGTCATTATTGCATCTAGCTTATTCTTAATCATCGTTTTCTCCAGTCCATCTTTTGAAAGTTTCCCTAATTTCGATAATAATCCGTTAATTCCCATTCCATTTGTCGCCTCAGCTTGTAGAAATAAATCTTGACCGTACTCTTTAATTTTCTCCTGTTTTTTTGTAAATGAAACACGAAGTTCAATTGCTATTGAGTTTTGATTCGAATGTAACAACAGAATCAAGCATGCTTAATTACCAGGCTCGAGTGCTTTTGGTTGAATGCTATGGCTTCCGCTAAAGATCGAATTGGAGAGGAAACCAGCTCTTTCAGGTATGCATTTAAGGACACTTTGAACTCATTCAGCAATGCAGCTACTTCTCCACTTTCTGTATTGTTATATATGGCTCCAAGGTTGTCTATTTTCAAATTGTCTACCAATATTGCACCTCGTTTGCTGCATAAATCCCTTTTCGTTAATACTAACACAAAACTGCCATGAAACATTAGAAAAGTTCGAGTATAATTGCAAATAATCTTTGAAATTTGGAAACTATCTTTTGGTACCTTAATATTGTGAAAATTTCCTCAAAAGCTGGAATTAAGGAAGGATCAACTACACCAAAGAAATCCTCCACTATTCCCAATCTTTTTCCTCTTAATCCATCAGCCTTAAGAAATTGACCGTACCCACCCCTTGGAATATACCGAGATGCTTTATAGGTTGAGTTATCCAGGGGGTCAGTTCCTACAATGACGTCGAGAACATAAGCAGCATCGGAAACCGTTCTACAGATTGGCCTGTTCCCATGTTCATTCATGTAGCAAGAGTGGAATTATTCTCTATTTACATGATCACGTTATTGTAAAATCAAATCAATTAAATAAGTGAATAGGACTTGAATACTGAATGAGATCATCTAGTTTTGAATAATATTTTTTGGAACACTTACCCAACAGTATCTTGTCGTGGAGAGATCGGGACGACTCCGGCTGTACTAGTGAGGCCAAGGGTTGGTTTGATGCCAACTACTGAGTTAAAACTAGAAGGACATAGTATTGAGCCATCCGTTTCAGTTCCTAGTGCGACAGCGGCCATGTTTGCCGACACTGATATTGCCGAGCCGCTGCTTGAACCACAAGGAAGTCCTAATGTATAAGGTTCCTGCACCATTTTTACCTTGAGTCTTAGTTTTGTATATTTGAGATTCAAATCAATTTGTCACTTACAAGAGATAACTTTAATTGGATTGTAGCAAGGAACTTCCAAGAAAGTTTGAACAAAGAATTGAATATTGATGCCCTTTTCTTTTACACAAATATAATGGAAGAAGTATTGGAGGAGTTGGAGGCTCACTCACCCGGCCTTGTCCTGCCCGGGCGTTCCAGCCAGTGGGAGCTCCATTGGATCTAAAACCAGCCCATTCGCTCATGCTGGCCTTTCCCAAAATGATTGCTCCAGCTTTCCTCAACCTCATCACAGCTCCGGCATCACGAGGCACAACGGAGCCCAACAGAGCCAATGAGCCAGCCGTGGTGTTGAGCTTGTCCTTTGTGGCCATGTTATCTTTTACAAGCACAGGAATGCCGTGCAAAAGAGGCAGTGAGCCTGGCGCCTTGGCCTTGCGCTCACGGTCTGCTTTGTCGGCTAAGTATAATGCATCTGGATTCACCTCAATCACCCCTCTAAGCCGTGGGTTATATCTACGGATTTGCTTAATGTAAAACTCAACAAGTTGCCTGGAGGTGAGTTTGTTTTGTTTGAAAGCTAGGTGCAAATCTTTCAATCCGGCTTCTTCAATGGGGAAGCCAGCCGGCCTTACACTGTAAGACCAGAACGGTGATACTGCTACCAAAATCAGAAACAAAGAAAATGAAAGAGAGAGGCGTGGAGTTTCCATTCTGTGGAACAAGGGAATAGGGAAACTAGGTTAGGTGAAATCGAATCCAAAACACTGAATTTATGAAGTTGGAAGGACAATGAAAGATTCCTTTCTAATCAATACTATGCCACAAATACTGCTTCTGCTGTTGCCACGCCTGTCCCCACATCAAATTATTGACACAGCACTAGGAAAAAGATGAATTCATGCGCGACCAATCCCTATGGTTTTTTGTTGTTTTAAAAAAAGCCAAATGTAGGATTAAAATTATCATCTTTATTCTTTAATGTAATTTTGTTTAGGTTTAATTTTAATTCTAACCGTACCTTGACCAGAATTTGAGTTGGTTTATATTGTACATACTTTTTCTGCAGTTCATTATTGTGTTTGTAATGATAGGGAAGTTTACAGAAATCCGATGGGTGGCTTAGGATCACAATCTTAAAGGGGTGACCCAGGATCACAATCTTAAAGGGGTGAATAGAGTTTTTTTTAAATTTTTTAATATGGTGGACCCAAATTTAAACAAATATCTAAATTTTTTAGAAACAATTAATTTTAACATAAATTATTCAATAAATTAGACATACATTTCAAGCACTCTAATTAGTTCTAATATTCATAGTAAACATGTAGAACATAAATTAAATAAGAAAGGGTTAGAGAAAATGACACTGGAAATTTATAGTGGTTCGGTAACAATCGGCCTACTCTACTTCCCAAGCGTCTCTTGGGTATTCGATTCGGTAGGAGTCAAACCGGTACAAAATCTTCTTTTTCCGGGAGCAAGAAGAAACCGGATCATTTTCACGGTTCAAGATCAAACCGTTACAACTACTCTTTTTCGGGCTTAAGACAAACCCTTACAAAGGATATAGAAATCTAAGAACGAACTTATAAACTCTCTCAAAGAGTGAATATACAGATATTTGCTTAAGAAAAAATCTTATAAAATAAAAGCCCTCAATTTGGATAAGACAAATAAAATTGAAAGCGCACGGATCTCTCAAATAAAATTTCTCTCGCAAGAAATTATAATGACATGGAAGCTTTAGATGACGAAGAACAATAAAATAATTAGGAGAGGTTTGAATCTAAAATCAATTTGGACCATTGGATTTGAATCGGTTAAAATAAAAGGTTGAGATTAAATTAAATAAAATAATAATATATAAAATAAATATTATATATACACACACCAACGGATAGCTTTTCAAAAAAACTTTGATTTTACAACGTTAACTTGTATATATAATAATATTCTTTTATTATTATTATTTTTATTTCTTTTCTACTTTCTTTCTTTTCTCTTGTTTTTTTTTCTCTTTCCTTTTTCTTTTCTTTCTTTCTCATTTATTTTATAACCTAAAAAATTCATGTCATATCCTATTCATTAAAATTTTGCCGCCATGTCATCGTCACATGTATTTTTTTTTCTTCCAATTTCTTTCGACCATAATTTCTTCGTTTGAGCTCTAATTTGAGTGATTCAAAATTCGTTGGAATCGTCGTATCAAGTTCTACACCATGGACACTTTAAAATATTAAAATTGTCAAATAACATAATTAAGTTTGTTATCATCAAAACATTAATTAATTAATTAATTAAAATTAATTAATTTGAGATTAAGTGCCAAAAAGCCAACGGCTTAAACAAGTCTTATTGATTGCAAAGTATGAATTTGTGTTAGGTTTAAAGCGTTATTTTGATTGAAAGCTAGAAAGATTGTTAGGATTAATCGTCTTTAAATAATGCTTGTTGAATTTTAGTTTGGTTTGTAACTTGTATGTGTTAGTATTATGATTAAACCTTATTATATATTTTTGCCATGATGAGAAGTAACCAAAATCCAATGTGGCGCTTGGACAAGTCAATAAACTTTTATAATGCCTATTTTAGTCGAGAATTTTGAAAAAATAATAATATCTTTTTCTCGACAGTTTTTTTTTATTATTTTTTTAACATTGTTTAAACGATAGATAACATAGCTTTGAAATGTGTGTTAACATGCCAATGTAGGTATGCGTGTGAGTTGTATAATTAGCTGAGGCAATATTGAGTAGACCATATATCATGCGACGTAACTATTTTTTTCAATACAACATGTAGAGTTGGGGGATTGAATTACAACGTCCTGGTTGGAGATACATGCCAATTACTGTTGAGTTAGGCTCGCTTTGGCTTATTCGACGGAACTTAAAAGTAGAACCAATATGTGATAATCCACATAAAGTTGTTTTAGAGAGAAATTAAGCTTAGGATGGGTAAAGAGGTTAAGTAGTATCTCCTACTTATCCATCTACGGATAAGAGTTCATAAAACCCCCTTCAGTTCAGAAACTGAGGCCTCATCCGCCAATTTAGTGAGAGGAGGAGGCCTTCTACTCTTGGTGGCTTGTTCAAACCCATATCCAATCTCTATTAGCCTCGGCTCGTATCCTTTCAAGCCCCCAAAATAGACCCCAAACGGCTTCTTTGATGGCAAATAATACCCAGCCGGAACAGTTATTCCTGGGAAACCTCCGATCGCAAAAATGTCGCGATTCGCTCATTCACAGTCACTATTGCATCTAACCTATTGTCCATCATTGTCTTCTCGAGTCCATCTTTTGAAAGTTTAGCTAAATTTGATAATGCTTCTCCCAGTCCAGTTCCATCCGTGGCGTTAGCCTTTTGAAAGAAATCTTGACCGTAATCGCCCATTTTTTTCCTAGTATATAATCATAGTTAGCCAAATCTGGATTGATATTTATGGTTTTGGTTTGAGTACTGGTTAAGGTGTAGTAATAGAATCAAGGGAACTTACCAGATCTGCGTTTTTTTTGTTGAATTCTATTGCATCTGATAAAGATCGAATTGGAGAGGAAACCAGCTCTTCCAGATATGCATTCAAGGACACTCTAAATTCATTCAACAATGCAATCCATTCTCCACTTTGATACGAATTTTGTATGACTTCAAAACTTTTTATTTTCAAATTGTTCACCAATATTGCTCCACTTCTCCTGCATGTGGAATTTAATTCTCGTCCCTTTAACTTTTAGGCTCGTGAACTTTCAATTTTGTGTGTAATATGTATCTTCCAAATATGCATTAAAGATATATTTAATACGACCTTAAAAATTCAAAGATTCAACTTATAATTTGATTAGAAAATTGTTGAACTTAGTCGTATTTCATGTAAAGATGATATTTGAATATGGCCTAAATATAAGGGTTTTGAAAGTTATCTTATACGCAGATAGAATTATTCCTTTAGTACCTCAATGTTGTGACAATTTCCTCAAAAGCTTGAACTAAGAAAGAATCAAGACCTAGAGAGAAGTCCTCCACTATTCCCAATCTCTTCCCTCTAAGTCCATCAGCCTTAAGAAATTGAGCGTACCCACCACTTGGAATGTACTGAGAGCAGCAATATGTTGCCTGATCAAACACGTCATATCCTACGATGGCGTCGAGAACATAAGCAGCATCTGATACTGTTCTACCGATTGGCCTGTTTCATGTAAAGTCCAATTAATAAGTGAAAAAAAAAACTTGGCTGGTATAAGATCCAATTTTAGACTACATCTTTCTTTATTACCCAACGGTGTCTTGGCGTCGAGAGATCGGGATAACTCCAGCTCGACTAGTGAGACCAACAATTGGTTTGATGCCAACCACTGAATTGAAACTGGAAGGACTTAATATTGAGCCATCAGTTTCAGTTCCTAGTGAGACAGCAGCCATGCTTGTTGACACTGATATTGTTGACCCACTACTTGAACCAGCAGGATCTCCTAATGTATAAGCTTCCTGCACCATTTTCATTTGGAGTCTTTTAATTAGTTTTGTTTTAGTTGAGACTTCAATCAAAATAGATTAGAAAGCTTTAACTTATAGCTAGCTAACCACGCCTTGACCAGTCCTTGCATTCCAACCAGGGAGAGCTTTACTAGATCTAAAACCAGACCATTGGCTCAAGCTAGCCTTTCCGAGTATGATCGCTCCAGCTCTCCTCAACTTGGCCACCACTCCTGCATCGCGAGGGACAATAGAACCCAGCAAAGCAAATGAGCCAGAAGTGGTGTTGAGTTTGTCCTTTGTGGCAATGTTATCTTTGAGAAGCACAGGAATGCCGTGCAGAAAAGGCACTGGTCTCGGTTTCATAGCACGACGCTCCGGGTCCGCATTGTCAGCCAAGTCTAGTGCATCTGGATTCACCTCGGCTCGGAGCGTTCCGTTATATTTACGGATCTGCTCAATGTAGAACTCAACAAGTTGTCTAGAGGTGAGCATGTTCTGGTTCATTGCCTGCCGCAGATCGTTCAGCGTCGCTTCTCCAATGGAGAAGTCAGTTCCCACGCTGTGAGACCACCCCAATAATGGTGACATTGTTACCAGATTCAGAACTAGCAAAGCAAAGTTAAAGGAGAAGCTTCGAGGTTCCATTTTGTGGACCAAGCAAACTTGTAAAAGATGTGGGAAAACAAGAACAAAGATGCCTTTTCACTCAATCCTATGCCACAAGAAGTGCTTTTGCTTCTGCCAAACTCTTTCCCCACCTTTTATTTATTCTGAATTCATATGATCAATCCCTGTTGTCCCTTCTTTTGTTGTCTTTGCTTTGTCCTTGTGAGTGGAGTAAATTTTGGCATGAATGCATGATCTTAACATTTTCATTATTTAACTTGTTTCAAAATATTATTGGAAAAGACTTAAATGGTGATTCAAATTTCAAAAGATGTAAATGACAAATCAAACATGATAATTGCATTGCCATAAGAAACGAATGAAAATTGTGTTGGATAGTATTAAGATTCTCCCTTTTTTCCTCATCTTGATCGAGTATTAGTTTGAACCCAAGCCGAAAAGGCTACAAGCACGTTTGTTTTATGTTAATCTCCAAAAATTCGAATCCAAATTAATTCGGCAGCCATTTATAGGACAATCAATAATAGACACCAATAGGCAATAATTGTGATAAAGTTTTTTTTCTTTCATACAACAACCGGTAGTGGTGGAAATTTGAACCGTAGAAAATATATGTTTTTACCAATTGATTATATAAAATAATTTTCTTAAAATGATGACAGAGGTAAAAAGTTTTTTGAAAAGTGATCTTTTAGTGTGTTTGATAGACTAGGATATTGAGAGTCTATTGCTAATGTTTTTGTTTCTTGTTTTTTAATTCCAATTTGATTGAGAAGTCTTAGTATTTAACAACCATATCTATGTTCCTTGTTTCCGTGTTTTCAAAACAACAAAAACAAGTTTCTTATTTCTTTTTTCCGTTTTCAATTTATTCCAAAATATAAATATTCATTCTTGGATATATGGGGTCTCGAGGGCACACAATTTTATTTTTCTTCATTAAAATAGAAGAAATAGAAATAAAAAACGAAAATGTCATCACACGGAATCTTAATATCTAGTTAAATTACTAATTCAGTGCTCAACCGTTTTATGTGGCTTAGATTCAAATCTCACCTATATATTCAAAGTCGAAAATATATAAATTTAGATCACTTAAGAAACTCATCTTTTAAACTCTATGTAATTTTATAAATCGCGGAGCCATAAACCGAACATGAGTTACACCAAACCTAAATTTTTAAAACTTGTTTCTCTTATATAATCAATGGACTGCCAAATCCAAACTTTTGAATCTAATATCATTTGTTGTTTAAATAGTTTAACAAAGATTTTAAAATCAAAAGGATTTTGTGTGTTATCCAACTCCATCTTCACTTGAAACTTGAAAACTACTTCCAAAACATCTCATTTCCTCCTCAAATGGTGGCATATGAGATTTGACAATCCATTGATTTTGAAAATGGAGGCCTTCGCACCATGGTGGCCTACTCAAAAGCGTAAGCAATCTCAATCAGCTTTGGCTCTGTGCCCTTCAACCCTCCAAAGCACATCCCAAATGGCATACCATCTTGTTCACCATATCCTGCTGGGACAGTAATTCCAGGGTATCCTCCGATCGCCAGCACCGAGATGCAGCCATCGCCCGGTGTTACGATAGCGTCCAACGCATTTTCTCTCATTAACTTCTCGAATCCATTTCGGGATAGATTTGCCATCATTTCAACTGCCTTCTTTTCTTTCTCCCCAAACCCATTTGTTTTCTCTGATTCAATGAAAGTGGCCTGTCCATATTCTTTGAGCTTTTCCTGCGTTGAGGAGCAAAAGAGGGAAGAACTCACAATAAGCTGCATATACTTGAATTGATGATCTGCTCATTTCAAAACTCTGTATTTGCAATCCAATTTTGAGCATAGTTTGAGCTTGGTCCCGTTTCAATTTAATCCCTATAATTTATGTTTAGTTCCAATTTAATCTTTATGATTTTAAAATTTTTAATTTAGTCCCTATAATTTATGCAAAGTCTCAAAGAAATCATCCTTGTCATAATTATATTGACATTTTCTAAGTAACTATGTTAAGTTGATTACATGCGAGTTTAGGGCCATGAAGAAAAGTTATAAGAAAAATATGTGGGTTTTTAGGCGGACAAAAATAGTTTCTAAACTATGGGTAAGATTTAATCAAACCATAGGAACCAACCAAATTGAAGATTTTTAAAATGATAGAGAAAGTTAAAATTAAGTCCAAATTATAAAGATTAAATTGAAACTTTTAAAATCATATAGATCAAATTAAAATGACTCGAAAGACTAAGTGATAGAGACCAAATTTACCATTTAAACATAAATATCAGTTAAAACAGCCATGTAATTTCTCACCATTTCAGGGTGCTTATTGTTGAAGGCAATGACATCTGCAAGTGACCTAACTGGAGAAGTGATGAGCTCTTTCATCAAGTAATCATTTAGCAACATCTTGAAATCAGCCAACATAACTGTTAGTAACCCACTCCTTTTGGGACTCAATATTATATCTATGTCTACTATTTCAAGATGATCCACTATAACAGCTCCCCTTTGCCTACAAGATCAGTAAGTATGAAATAAAGAGAACTTTTTAAGAAAAGAACACCAAGTTCACAAACTTTTGGGCTATAGCATGTTACCTTAATGTATGAAGATGATTCTCAAAAACTTGCATTGAAGGGAACTTATCTGCAAATGGGTTCCGAACAACTCCAATTCTTTTTCCTTTGGCCCCATTGGGATTGAGAAATTGTTTATATCCACCTTCAGGTATGAACTTGGAGCCTTGGCTTGTGGCCTCGGCATCTCTCGGATCGAACCCAGCTATGGCATCAAGGACATAAACTGCATCCGATACGCTTCTGGTTATTGGCCTGCAGTTCATCATGTTGAGATTTCTAAGTTTGATATAGGATAGAGCTCACAAGTAAGGGGCTGGCAATTGCGCCCTTGTGAGAAGGTAAAATTTTGTGTTTGTCCCATCGAACTTACCCAACGGTATCGTGGTGGGACATGATCGGAATGACTCCGGCCCGGCTGGTGAGGCCAACAGTTGGTTTGAATCCGACGACGGAGTTGCGGTCGGATGGGCAGAGGATGGAGCCACGAGTTTCAGTGCCGAGTGAGACAGTGACCATGTTAGCAGCAACAGAAATGGCAGAGCCACTGCTAGACCCACATGTCTCGCCCGATGCTACATAAGGGTTCTGCGTCGTTCCATAAAACACCATTTTGGTAACATAAACAAATGACTAAACAGTGTTTGCTGCTTCTGTTTTGGTTGCTCTACGGGTGTAAGATGGTTGATTCAGCAATGGTTTTGGCTTCTTAGGTTTGGATTGTCTTGGCTAAAATTAAACAATCTTTGGGGTTTTTTTTTTTTCTTTTTCTTTCTTGGGTAAGAACAATCCTGAGGTTTAATAAATATGAAAGTCAACAACAAAACTAATATTTTGACTGTCAAGTTCATTCGTTGAGATATTATGTCTTATACAAAAGATTAAGGCTGGAGGTTGGAATCTTGCTACACCCCATATTTGAACTCCAAGGAAAAAAAAAAATAGAAGTAATTCTTTCATAAAAGAAATCGAACAAACTCGATCAAAATTGAGTCAAATTACTAGTAAAATAAGTCTAAACTAAAGTAATGGAGATTTTTCAGCTTTATAGTTTATAAAACCAAAATGATGAGGAACTTGAGCATAATTCGACGGATTAAAATATATAGTCCGACTAAAAAATCATGAATTCGAATTTCCATCTCACATCGTACCAAAAAATAAAATTAAAACTATGAACATCTATCATTCAAATAAACTATTTGGTTTGGTTTCATGTTTCTATTTGGCTTGCACCCAAACTTTATATGATTTGGCTTGAAAAATATAATATAAAAATCAAAATATAAGGAGAACTAGCATATTTTAACTTATTCTATTATCATCCGCAGTGGTGCATTCTTTATAAGAGTGCCTCGGAAGATCTCGATCACTTGTTGTGGACTTGCCTGTTTGCGTAGGATTTATGGCACCGTTTCTTTATGTGTTTTGGTTTGTCTTGGGTCCGTGCTAGAGATTGTAGGGCTACGATGGAGGAGGTGCATTTTATACCCCTTTTTGTGAGAGGAATTGTTTTTTGTGGCAGACTTGTTTTTCTGGCTACCTTATGGGGTATTTGGTTGGAATGGAATTATAGACTTTTAAGGGGTGGAGAAGTATGTGGATTATGTTTGGGATATCATTAGATTTAATACTTCATTATAAGGTTTTGTTTCTAAGTCCTTTTGTATTTATCCACTAGGCTTTAGGGACTTCCTCTTTCCGGTTTTATTTTTAGGCCATTTTTGTTCTTCTTGTATCTATTTTTATTTTTCTAAATGAAAGTGTTGTTTCATATAAAAAATAAAAAAAAATAAAAAAAATTCTATTATCATCTTAGTAAAGTCCATGTTTCTTAACCTAGTCTAAACTTTTTCATAAAAAATAGGGAGATTCAAAATAAATATTACTATATATAGTTTTTTCTTACTGCAATTCATTGTGATTTTAGAAGTTTGAACCTCTGACTCGAAAGAAAAGAGTGTGTATTAATTATCTAGCATTTAAATTTATATGAGAGAGAGGTAGCAATAATTTATTTCAATCACAGGACTAAAATGGTCTTTCTAATTGATATGGACATGTTTCTTTAAATCAAACAAAAAATTTATCCGATCCTTGAGAATGATTAGTTGCACTCAAATGATATTATTTAATCGTAGAAATTTATGCAATTTATTTTTTTTAAATGAAAGACATTAATTTATTAAAAAAAACTACGAGAGAAGAGGAAAGTCAGGAACATACCACACCTTGACCGGCACGTGCGCACCACCCATTCGGCACGTGGCCCAGAGCTCTAAACGAATACCACTCGCTCATACTCGATTTCCCCAAAATCACTGCCCCTGCCCTTCTCAGCTTCTCCACCACGCCGCCGTCCCGAGCCACCGCCGATCCCACCAGTGCGTACGATCCGGCCGTCGTGTTCAGCTTGTCCTTCGTCGCAATACCATCCTTCACCAGCACCGGAATGCCGTCGAGCGCTCCGACCGGCGACCGGTTCTCATCCGCCTCTCTCCGCCGCCGGTCAGCCTCGTCCGCTTCATCCCTCGCCTCCGGATTCACCTCCACCACGCTCCGAAGCACCGGATTTAGGGCTTCGATTCGGCTCAAGTAGAAATCCACAAGCCTTCTCGAAGTGAGCTTCTGATCGGCAAATGCTCTCTGGATCTCCTCGATCGTCGCTTCTTGAATCGTGAAATCCTGTCCTTCGATTCTGCTAAATGATCCGACGGCGACGATTAACAGAGCGATGAACGCCGGTACAGGTAGTCGAAGTTCCTGCATCGTAAAATTCCTCTGTCCACGGAGCGCTTATCCCTAGCTTCGATCTCTTCATCTGCTTAAACACAATGAACTGTGATTTTATTACTACAGGATGTCTCGATGGCGTTAAATTTTATTTTTTTTCAATAAAAAAATTGAAACCTCATCGTACGGATACTGATCCAGTTCTTCTATAATTTTGTAAAGTTGCTTGCAGAAAGGACAAGTTTTAAATTATTTCACTGTCTAGATTCTAGTGGAAGCAAAACTTCAGTATAATTTAAGATCCATGATAGAACGGATGGTGTTTATTGATATTGGACTAGTTATCTTGATTCATAAAAAATTTGTACGAGGAATTTTTTTTGGCAATTTTAAGAAATGAAATAATATCTTCGTTCAAAGGAATGTATGTAGAGAAAGAGACTTATTCTAGATTTATTATTGAAGGCACTCATTATTAGTTGCTACCCTTCTAAAGTTCAATAGCTGAATCTCCCATCCTTTAATGTGTATTTAAAACAACAATAATACAAATGATAAAGATGACCTCATGTATCATTTTAACCTATTTTGATCTATTTTTTACAACAAAAGTATGATAGCGACTTGGAAAATTGAAAATTCAATCTTAAATTAAATAAAGTAATCTATGTCCATGGAAGAAAAGAGGTGTCGAATTTATAGTGCAGCAGTCCGGTTGATGGAAAAGGCGTGCATTTGTCGGTGAACATGGCAATGAGCCCGCAACGACGAGAGCACGATCCCATGCCTGAAATGTCCGAGAGGGGCCTACCATGGTGGTCGTTCTCTTATGAGGGTAAGTCATGCACACTACATTAAAATACTAAAACTCTCAGTATTTTGCTCTCTCTCTCATCTACTGACTTGAGTGTCAAATCATATTTTATAGGGATCGTCTCTGTCCGGTGTCCTACTCCATTGGACACGTCGGAAAACTGAATTTCGGCATCAATACTATATATTAAGATTGTATCCATATTTGTTAGTACAAATTTTTAGGGTACACTTTGTTGGCCATCAAAAAACTAAAAATTTAAAAACTAAAAATTCAATGAAAAACATGTATTTCATGTTTCAAATGTTTTATGATATATATTTGGTGGTAAATTTAACAATTTATTCTCGATTTAAAAAATTGTTTAAAGTATTTAGTAATATATTTTTAAAATAGCGATGGTTATAAACTACAATCTAAAAATAATATTAACTCATTTATTAACAAATATGTTATAAATTATGTAGAAAACACTAATTCTCTTTCCAACCTAAAACATGCAACATGTCACAATCGATCGATCATTTTTATCTCAAACAAACCACATTCACTCTCGAGATCTTATCATCATCATAGAACTTCATATATTCATAGTTTAACCTTAAAGATTCCACAAATTTTAGAAACTAAAATGAGAGTCATCAGTCAAGATCATAATTAGAATATTTATGAGTAATTAAATAAATGGAAGAGATGGATATTATTGGCAAGGATGGAATTTGCAGGTGAGGTGGGGAGAGCCGGAATTGGCCCGTTTGAATCGAAGGGCAGTGATGAGGACGGCCCGTGGAGAGCCCAACAAGGCCCAATTCATGCGTTGGAGGACCGAAATTGTAGGGTAGGGGTAGTGGAGGGAATTGTAGGAATTAAGGAACGCCGTTATGGCCTCCCTTAACAGTGTCCTGTAAGGGTCTCCTCTGCCCTGTAGCCCGTTCCATAGGGTCACCTCCGTCCCGTAACGGTTCGCCGCCACTGGTCCAAAAATAACGCCTACTTTTGTCTCTGGGTTCACTGCCCTCCAGTAGCATCTGTAATCTGGATTTGTCCAGTTCCTGTAAATACAAATGGTAAATCAGAAAGTTGTGGCGGTAATTAACGTAAAAATATTTTTGGATTGTCTGCCTAATTTTACATTAATCGTCTTCCTCTATTGTCAACATAGTTGACATCTCCATTGTCTAACCCAATTTTGCACTATTCCTACTTTTAAAAACAATTTCTCCATTCTTCTCTTTTCCTACTTTTGATTTAGGTAAACTTTCTATATCTTCGTCAAATTTTTCATTCAAATATTAATGGATGTTTACTCAAATAATAATATTTTCTAAATGCATATGAAAGATCATGAGTAATACTAAAATTTTTAAAAGGATATGAATATTTTTTAGAGTTTGAACTTCTACTATGCTCAAATAACTAATATTGTTAAAATTCCAAACTCAATGCTATCCATATGTGTTTTAAAAAATATTTATTCCTAATTTATTTATTATTCAACCCACTTTTTTATTGTGTATTTTTTTTTAAGTATATACTTTTACCTTTGAAATTGGACTAAACTCTAAGATTTTTAAAGCATTATCAAAGAAACCATAAGAAATAGTTTTCGAAAATTAGTTTTTTATAAAAAAAAAAAAAAAAAGAAATACCAAGATCTTAACATTTATTGGCAATAAAAAAGCTACTTTTGTCGTTCTAAACAAATAAATGATATATTTAGTACAGAAAAATATTTAGATGTTAGATTCTTTCATACTTATTTTCGTTCAAAAGTTGATGGCTATTCAATTTTTTTAACTACCATTTCTCAGCAAGACCATTAAATATTTTAAGTTGTGCTCCCACTTTTGTGAATATCACTTCCCTTAGATCAAAATTAATTTCAATAAAATTTAAAATCAATTTAAATTAATTTTTAAAAGTATTAGTGATTTAAATCAATTATATTCCAATCTCTTGAAATTCTAGGGTTGTCAATTATTTAGAATCAATGTGCTAAACTTACTCATGTTGACAAGCAGAAGCTTCCAAGAACGGCACAGGCGGCAACGGCGGAAGCAGCGGCAGTCTGAGAGGAGGAGGCGGAGGCGATGACGGCGGAGGTACGGTGACCGGCGCCGGGACCGGATTAACCGACGGCGAACAAAACGGCATTGGCAGAGCAGGCTGAGAAATCAAGGAATCGACCACATACATTTCCATGTCAAACATCCTAAACATCAGTCTGAGACTCTTCGCCGGTCCGACCGCTCCGCCGCAGCCCGTCGCCGTCCCACCGACCGCCGCGTAACAGCCGCTAAGATCCGGCGTCCCGTCGAATCTCATCGTGAAGCTCCCAAACAAATTCGTAGTCTCTTCTCTCGAATATGTCACTCCCCCATTGCCGTCCCCACAAGCCACCATCACTTTAGCTCCTGCAACGCAGCAATTTAATCAAAAAAAAAAATTTCGTATTCTTAATCGAAGAAGCGATTAATTGATTTGAAGCTCACCGTTAATGGGGTAATCGAACAGGGAAATTTGGCCATCTTTGCACTGATCGCAGAAGACGGTGCCGGTGACGACGGCGTATCCTTGGGCTGCGGCGAAAAACAGAGATGCAGCTAAAAAACAGAGATTAAGCTTCTTCAGAGGATCCATGGAAGTGGGGATTCTTCGATCTGCGAGAGAGAGAGAGATCAGGGAAGATGGGGCAATAGGAAGTTAAATTTAATTTAATTTAAGAGATGATGAAGAACACTTTTCTGTGACAGCAACGTGGTGGGAGGAAGATGGCAGAGGAAAATAAATGAACTGAGGAGAAAAAAAAAGGTTCAATTGAACTCTCAACTGTCCAAATTAATGGGAGGTTGGGAAAAAATTTATAAGTATTAATTTTTTTTAGATTAAAATATTACTTTTTTCAAATACTCTTAAAACATTCATTTTGATTCCATTCCTTTCAATTTTGATTCATTTTAATTATTGGCTAGTTATTTTGACTCTCGTTCTTTTAAAAGATAATCATTTTAGTTCTTTAAATTCATTTTGATCTCATTTATTCTATCACGKTACTATATTCAATATTTTTTTTTAGAAATAATCATGACTTTATATTAAAATATTTGCATTATGTGTAAATTTCGTGTTAAAGTTTTGAAACGAAAAACTAAAATAGTCGCTTTTTAAACTATCAACGTACCAATCCCTATGCTTGCAAATTCAGCTCAGCAGTTGCTTCTTGCTACTATCTCAAGGATAATCGTGGGGATGACCAAATGATGAAGAACTCATAAATGCACATTTTTTTATAACTTATAAGTGCCTTTTTTCCCCCAAAAAAGATCACCTAATTTTATTAAACTTAACCAACATAAAATTTTCCTTTTTCCAAATCCAAAATTACTACATATTTGTGATTTATGATAACAAGATTTTGTTCAACGCTATCAACTAATTATAGTTAAATATATAGAATACCTTTTTATAGTTAAGCTTTCTTCCTTCGTTGCTTTGATAAAGATGAGATGAACAAATTGAAGTTTAATTTTTCCATAATTATTTTAAAATCATATGCTTTACTAATTTCATTTATGAAACATCTTACTGTTTACAGTGTTTTCGGATTAGTGCATGAATACATTCACAACCCACCAAAATTAATATAAAATATAAAACATCCACAAGAGCAAAAGTAGCTATGGACAATGAATATAATCCTATCTAGACTGGTAAAAAATCCTACTTGGGTCAATATTCCAATAATCATATTAGAAGATCAAGATAGCTATAAGTTACGAAGGCAAACCATATGTCCCATCATGAATTAGAATTCTCCATCGACATATATTGTACTAAAAAAACCATTAAATTTGTGATATAATATTTTGAAATACCCATATTGATACATAAATCTTGATTTAACATAATTTCAATCGAACTTTATTTTTTTCTGTTGATTAGCATCTCACATGATTGGTGTTTTCAACTTTTCTATTGAAGATTCACAACACTAGTCAGTGAATAATTATTAATCTCTATATAATTCTCTTACTTTAAATGAAATTTCAATAAAGTATTTTTTTATAATATAAAAATTTGAACCTCCCACCTTAAAAGAAAATAGAAAATAGTAAATATCATTTACTACTAAACTATATTTTTTTCTTATCTCCTACATTTTTATTCAAGCAAATTTTCACAATCTCCAAAATTTTACTTCCCGTTGTTCAAAAGCCGAGTACGAGAGAATTATATTTGTACAATAACAAACATACATACACACATATATTAGAACATCACAAAATTTAGTTAACTGCAAGTCTCAAGTACATATATTATTAATATAAAATATTAAAAGGAAGAAGAAATGGCATGCCCAAAACATTAAACTAGTATATGAACACTTTTCATTGACAAATAATATAAAGGGGAACAAAACAAATCGCCAAACCAACAAGGCTAGAAGGAAGACCTGGAGAGAGAGAGCACCACTGTTTCCCACTCAGCAAACAATCAACTTTCAGAGGATAATGCAAAATTCAAACTGCAAACAGTACATACCCCAGAATTATAATAAAAATCATAGCAACAATGCATATGCTTGAGCAATGGAAGTTCATCATAAACTTAAAGCATGAGAAAATTTCAGAAAATCATCATTCACGTTTCACTCTATTTGTCCATTCAAAAATTCAGGTCAGAAGCAAAATCAAAATTCATAAGAATTTCTCGTCGGAACACAAAACTGATATTAGAAAAGACGACGGTACAGTTGAACAGTATTTCTCAGGAACATTAAAGAAAAGGTACAAACATGTCCATAAAAGGCCTAAATAGCAAAGCTAACCTTAAACCTACCAAAATTGCACAATGTCCTGTACTTGATCCACATCAATAGCACTCACTGAAACAAAATTTTATACGTATAGTTCATTTCTGTTTGGTGGGTTTTTTTTTTCTTGTTTTGGGGGGACTCAAAGAACCATGGAATAACACAGTGAATAATTCAAGAGTTCTCAATAATGAATATCAGCAAACTTCACCACTACGCATCAGCAATTTAATTATTTCAACTTTAGTATCAAATGCATAGAATACCGTCTTCAATTTTCCTCAGCAGGTCCATTATCAACCATCTCAGGCTCAGCACTGCAACACCGAATCAAATGACTGAATCAACATGCTAGGGGATAAACAGTCAAACTGAAAGGCTAAACGTAAAAGTTCAAGGAAAAGGAATTTACAAGTTTCACCCTCCAATCTTCCCATAAAAAGAATTTACAAGTACAAAAAGCACTACATGGTCTACAGATTTACCCATTTCAGTCCTCAATAAACTCCCCTACTTACAGACCATGCAAAAGCAAAGCAATTTCTTTTACCCAACATGACAACATCTTGATTGCCAAAAGAACTTTTCAACCAAATTCAATATGGTCAATAACTTCTAGTCCAAGATCAAATGAATCTAAATGGAGAAAGCTAACGTCCATGAAAAGCAACTTGACATTAATAGTATCTTAGATTCTGATATAAAGATAACAAAAGGCCACCAAAATTATCATTTACATTTTACACAAATTTCACTTGTCACATACAGCTTCACTTTCAAACAAGTACGTAATAAAAGAACCTGCTGTCTGGTTTATTTAGGTAACCAACATAAATAACATATGTAAATTTCCATCCCAAGTATTGCTTATTTAGTTTGCCCACAATGATCAAGAATTAAATCTACAAGAATCCTAGAATACAGCAGCAAATAAAATTCTCCCAAGGACCACAAACCACAAGGTACAAACAAAGACAAGGTACCAACATCTATAATCAAACATACCATCGATAAAGCCATAAGAAGAAGCAACACTTTTAAGTTTTAAGAATGAACCTTTGGGGACGAGAATCCACAGAATCTGGCTTCCTCCAACTCCTTCCCATACGATCATCTGGTGACCGACCACTTCGAACTCCAAAGCCTTTTCTCTCGAATGAAGCACCGGTTGGTCTCTCTGCCCTCTCCACCGTATCCTTAACCTTCATTGACTCGAGTTGCTCATCAATCTTCTTCCAGTCCTGTCCCTTCTCGGCCAATACCTCTTCCCTTGGTCTTGCATTTCCGAAAGGATTGGAACCCTTGGGCTTCACTGCCGCACCAGAAGCCTCCTGATTCCCATCGTTCAAAGGTATTGTACGAGGCTGCAGATTAAGCCTCGGCCTCTCACCACTTCCACCTCT